TTCGGCAGCGTTGATAAAGCTTGAAAGGGCAAAGCGAAGTCCCTCACCAGGGTGGCAGAAGTGTCTGAACAAGGTCAGCCAAGGCGACAAAAGTTTGCTCACACTTCGCGCATCTTCTGGCAGGGGTGCGCTGTCGGGTTGGGGCCCCGCGCACACGCGCGGTCACGCGCCGTGCAGCCATGTAAACACATGTGCGCGAATAAGGACGGTTTCTCGATGGGCTCTCATCGGCCCCTTACACGCTGCTCCATCTGATGGCGTTTGTCAGAAATACGAGCGAAATTCGCCACACTTGTTCCCTGGCGAGGCTCTCTCTTTTCTCACCTTTCTCTCTTCCCCCGCCGTACTCCTGACCCACCTTCCTGAGTACGGCGCTGTAAAAGCTACAACAGCTTTGTCAGCGCTGAAAAAAAAAAGTAATAAAATAATTGACGTTGAGGCGAAGAGAAAGAGAAAAACAAATGGAGGGGTGCTTCAGCGATGCTTCGCTGAAAGCTGTGCCAAAATGCGATAAATGTCCTCGTCTTCGATGGCTTCTCTACGTAACCAAACGTCGCCTTCTCTCCTCCCCCTTTTGTTTGGCACGTCAATCATGGTCATACTCAACACCGACGCTGCTTATGTTCTCCTCCTTAGTCCGCTCCTTCCTTTTGCTAAGCATATATGAAGACTGCGGTGTATCCAGTGAACACCTCGTCCCGCGCATACGTGTGGTAAGAGGTCTGGAATTTTAACGTGAAACGTTTTTCTCCTAGGTGTTCGGCATTTCGTGAAGCCCGGATAAAAGCGTGGCCGCGAGGCTCGACACTGATTGGTTGACGGGTGGGAGAGGGGGACTGAGGTTCTCAACGCTGATTGGTTAACGGGGACGTCATGGGCAGGAGCAAGGAGTACCTGTAGCAGACGGAATGTTGGCATGACGGTTCCGCGGCGGCAGCGTCGTGCCGCTGGAGCCGTATTCTGTATGGATGGTTATGGTTATTAGTTTCATTTACGGTCTTCGTGTTTTTTCTCGGCTGAATTTGTTATGGTGACTTTTGTCTTCCGTGCATCTTTATTTCCTGCTGCACATATCCGCCGCTGTGAGACAAGCTGCATATGCAGCTTTTTTTCTCGATCGCCACCATCAAATTGTGATGGAAATAAATTCAATTAATATTATTATTATTTCGGAATCAAAGGTTTTTGAGGAAAATTATCATCTGCCTCGTGAAGCACAACATCATGCGGGCACGTTTCTTTGTTGGTTGCATATCAGTTCTGAGGTGTTAAGAGAACGGCGAAACGAAGACTTTTCTAGCTTTTTTTCTTTTTTTCATCTTCTTTCTTAATTTTTAGAGTTTATGCCTGTTACGTTCGCTATTATTAATGGTAAATATTGGCGTAGTCATTCGCGCGTAAAACACAGACTGCCCTTCGACGAAAACAGAATAAACCTCCTTCTCCCCCTCGCCCTTGTGTTCGCGACCCCTGTTTATTTAACGCACTCTTCAGCTGTTTGATGGATCACGGTCACTGAATCAATACCTCCTAGAAGACAAGGCCTACGTATGCCGCAACCTTTCGTGGATTCCTGACCCGCCCCGAGTGACAAACACGCTGAATTTTGACGAGAGCATCCGCAAACGGCAGGCGCGTCTGTCTTGGCGACGACGCGTGCGTCGCATTCGTTGCGGGGACTACTGGAGGCGATGCTGGTGACCTGAGCTTGCCGGACATTGCCTGGATCCACTTGTGATGACTTTCGGGGGGGAGGTAAAAGGTGAATGCCTTGTATTGGCTCAATAAGCTCTGAGCTCACCTTTGATCCGGCGGCCGCGGATATATAGGCCTCGGTGACCTCACGCTTTCGAGTAGTGAAATAGACAAGTAGATGAGGGGAAAATTTAAGAGCCGATTCACTTCACGTGAAGATGGAGGACCAGCGAAGCTGTTATCTTTACGACAACTAGACGACATCTATACCGTTTACATATGATTGCAATGAAGACACGTCCCCGACTTCGTTGTTTAATTGTCGTTTTCGAGGCACACCTCGAGGACAGTTGGTTTCCGATTGAGCCCAAGTCTCTTTGTCAGCATCGCAGAAGCGAAAGGAAAGAAGGTGAGATCGGCGCGTTCTGCCTTCAGCCTCGTCACAGCACACTTTTAGCTGGAATAAGTCGGACCTCACTATCTAATAATGCCAAGGAAGGCTGACTCACGCGGGTTGCCCCCTCTTTGTATGTATACTTGCCACGACCAATTGGAACAAAGCAGCGCCGTTTAAACCGGAGTTTTTTTGTAAACATCCATGGACGCTTTTTTTTTTTCAGATCCTAGCACATACCAGCTTAGCTCTAAACGTACCGAATGCATTCTACAGTGGTAGCTGTTAATGGGACACTTCGCGGGTTTCGCGCCGTCGACCGCGCTCCATATCGACGGGGGCCAGTTTCGGCACTCCGCCAAAAGATTCCACATTGACGTCACGACGCTCGACGCGACCCTGACGTCACGCTGCGCACCACATCATCTGTTACCTGTCATTAGCAGACACCATGACGTCGCATTGTCATGTCAAGTCACGTTGCACGTGTGACGTCACGCGACTTAATGACGTCAGGTGACACCGTTAGTCAAGTGATGTCATGACGTCACGCGACATTCAGACGTCGTTGTCGGGTGACTCCATGACGGCGCGTAGCAACAGAAACATGAGACTGCCGATACTGGAAACAACAAAAACAAAGCGTTTTCGCTAATTATGCCAGAGAGATTCTCGGGCGATAAGGCCAATAAAGCTACAGGTGGGTGTTAAGTCGGCGAAACCACGGGCGTCAAATTAAGTGCAGCTACAACGCTCAAAATTTGAGTGAGTGATTTTTAGGTGTTCTTCAGCGACCACAAGGCGGTGTTAGTTTTCGTCCAATTACATTGCGTAAGACGTTCAGGCAGCCACACCAACGACAGCGAACTGTTCATGCATACACACACAGTTTCGTCGTTTCTTGGATTTCAAACTTGGGCGCCCGATTTTCGAAGTGTTCTTCAATTACCGCTAGGTAATCCCAGTTTCTGTCTAATAAAATTGTTTCGCAGGTTCTCGAAATGCTCTCTACTTAATACACATTCATAAGTTCCAAAACGCTATGGAGTTTTCGAGCGGTGTGTTACTCGGTGTAATACAAAACCAGGGTCGGATGCAGGAATTTCTGGAGGGAGGGGGGGGGGGGGGGGAGTCAAGTGTTGGTCAGCGTGCCATATGTTTAGGAACACCCCCCCCTCTCCCCCTTTTCCACGCCCTAAATTTTTACACATGGAGAAATCAAGAGGGGGATCAGGACATCCGGACCCCCTTCTAAATTCGCCCCTGTACAAAACGCCTATGCGAACTCTAGGGTACGCGCTCGCACCTTCACCTTTCATTCACTTCATCTTCTCCCAAAATGACACCTTAGCGGCTCCGACGTCAAACTTCAGCTGTCGCCATGTTTCACCCTACGGGAGGCGTAAGTGTTTACGAATTTTCTTTTCCAGGCAGAAGTTTGCATCCGTAGATTAAGGATGATGCACAGACCGCGACACTGTTAGCGCGAACAAGCAATCGCCGGTTTCTCCTGCTTTCTTTCTCTCTCTTTTAGAATTCGAAGGCTGTCATCGAAACAACTAGTGTAGTTAAAAGTGCTGATTCGAGGTGGTAACCTTAGAGGTGAAAATTAATGCTCGCCAATATTCCTTCGGTGTAAAATGGGAAGAAAAAAATATCGCCGATGTTGTGCTTACGTGAACTGCTTCGCGCAGTGCACAATCGCGAAAAAATATCCGCTGGAATAGCTCCCTGATTTTTGGCGCAGCTTCCTGTTTTTGATCTTTTTTAATGAATCTCTGGTTCAGACTACGATTCGAGGCAAAGTCTAGGTTCCAGTCTCCAACTTTTTTGGCAAATTTTTGGCAATGGAGCTGATATTGCAGGCGTAGCAAGAGACCAGTTCAAGCGGTGCAGCCCAGCATTACCTCGGGAGTGATTGTTTTCAATGCGGAGAACAAGTTCGTCTGCTTCTTTTGCAGGGGTCATGGTGACGTCTTAACGCTGATCTCTGATTAGCTCTGATTGAAGGATAGTAGGTAGACCTCAAGGCAGCTTGCTTTGAGGTCTACCCACTATCCTTCAATCAGAGCCAATCAAAGCTCGGAGTTCTGACGTCACCACAACTCCCGTAAAAGAAGCAGACGAACTTGCATAGCACTACTGCGCTCTGTCAAGCGCCAGCAACGATGACCTAGTGCACAGACCCCTGATTGGGCAAGGACTGCTCTGTCAGCGTTAAGTTTGTCGATGTTGTCAAATCAACGCTTCTCTTGGCGTTTGCGATACTGCATCACGATCATCTGGCGGGCTAGTTGGTTGATTACTATGTGGAATTAACAGCACAAGTACGTGAAGGAAGGATGGACGAAGGAGACAGGATAGAGCGCTGACTAACCACTGCCGTTTAATGAACATGAGAAGCAGGAAAAAGAACCTAAGAATGGTTTTAAAACATGCACAATGGAAACCCGCAAAAACATATGCCATAGCTAGGGTACTCCCATACACTGCCTAAAAATGAATTGCTATGGATAGTGAGCTTTCAGTTGCGCGCTGAAAAGACTTTTTGAAAACGATTAAGTCCTAGGAAGACGTGCATAGAAACTCCGATAGAAAAAAAAAAAGAGGAACGTTATGACTAAAATATTCACAGTGGCCAAGGATCCTTAAAGATCGCGACTGAAAAAATATGCGATAGGAGACCAAGTTCGCGGCACACTGTATTTGCTGACCTTTTCTAGGTGGGTCTGATGCAGTTGTTCTCACCTACACGACATGACGTCAGGTCAAACGTGGTGTGGTACTGGCGAAGCTTCGCAGTGATTCAGCACTAGGTGCATATCTTTCTGACTTCCGAGCAATCTAGATACAAGTTCGGCTTATCACTTGACGGCTTAAATCCCAGACGCACTGCGCATACTTCAAAGCCCCAGAGCGCGTCATATATAGCGCAGCTTCCTACGGATTCGAGCACTCGATAGAACCAGCTGGTAAGCGTTCGGTCGGCATGGAATCGCGCAGAGCCTTCGTACTGTCCGGCTTCTCGAATGACGTCAACGGGAGACAGTTCGTGTTTCAAGACGACGCAACGACTCTACCGGTCTGTGCTCTTTGTGACCAAGTTTCGTCGCAGTGGTACGTCCTCAACTGCTGTCATCGTTTCTGCCAGAGCTGCTTCAACGATGTCGTGCAGAAAACTCCGCTGACACTTCGCTGTCCTCTGGACTCAAAATCGTTTCGTCCTAGGAGGCCGCTGGAACCCAGCGAAGACACCACGGTCCTCGAGCGTAGTGTTTCCTGTTGGAACCAAAGGCACGGCTGCGACTTCATCGGGACGGTGACCGAGATGATTCATCACTTCGGCAGTTGCCACCACTACGAAGTCACGTGTCGGCTGTGCGGCAGCGCCATTTTGTGGCGGGGGCTGGCTGCACACGTCAAGTCTGATCACGGGAGAACAACCAGGGCGTCCAAGGCGAACGAGTTACCCCTTCCCGATGCGCACGAGGACGTCGTTCCAGCCGAGCCACTGTCACTGGATAGTCTCTTGGCGTGCTTGGCGGACCTGGCGTCTCGCTGCACGGACATCAGGTCAACTCAAGACAGCCATTTCCTGCAGCTAACCAGAAGCGTGGACTCGCTCAAGACTCAGCTGCAAGCTTCGCACGAGTCGCCGCGCACTCGCTTACAGAGAGAATCCTCCGCAAATGTGGAAGCAAAACGAATATGCTGCGAGCGACCGGAGCACGAAGATTTGCCCCTTTCCAAGTTCGAGTGGAAGGTGACGCGGTTCTCGGAGATCCGAGTCGGCATCCAGTATTTCCGCAGCGAGATCTTCGAAGTAGCCCCAGGGTACCAAGTCCAGTTGAAGGGCTACATCGACGGCATCACCAGGGTGGAGCTGAAGGTAGCGGCCACGATTTGGAAGACCGCCCACGCGACTCAAGACTGCGGCGACTGTAGAACTTGGCAGTACACCAGGGCCTGCCTCTTCCAGGTCGTGAACATTGAGCGTCCGGCCGATTCTAGCGAGGTGAGATATGACCTGGATGAAGTGTTCAAGACGTCGACCCCGCTCTTGGACACTCCCAATGGTGTTACGTCGCCGTGGCTTGACATTAGTTCCATTGACAGAGCCACTTTTCAGAGGGACTTTGTCTCCGAAGATGCCTTTGTAATTATGTTCAGCATTGAAGCTAGTGCGATTTAGTCCGGAGCTGCGTTTTGTATGTGTGTTAGTTTCTTTTATTATTTTAAGATTATTTAAGGAAAATAAATTTATGAACGCATGTCCATGTCCACTGAGATTTCCAAAACACCTGTTCGTCATTCCACACTGTAATCTCTTGCTGGGCTAGGTCTGATAATCACTCGCCCTGCCGAACAGGTGAGGGTACTCCGGTTACTCGATTGTCTACAGGAACATGATAACTGATCTGCGGAGGGCCCGGTGTGAGTGTTTATTTTTATTGATTCTAGAGCTATATTTTTCGATTAGACGAACTTCGGCATGCTGTACTAAAATAATAAAATCATCGACCTCATTACCCAGAGGGAAGGACGAGAAGAACATTTAAAACATTACTTTTAAATAATTAAAAATTGCAATATTGCCGCGCGCAGGGTTGAGCAAGTAGCGTCCGGTCACGGTATTATAGAAGATTCGCGTTTATACTTACTCGGTATGTAACTGTTATTTCGTCCTGCTTTCACGTTCTCGAAAGTGTCTGTTCATTTTCGCCCCGAACGCGCGACGCTCGAACCTTATGGGCCGAATATTCCAGTTGGTGACGCACACTAGATAAGGAGCTGCGCGGGACCTTGTCGAGTCAGTCTCGCTCTCGCTTGCTGTTACGCCGCCAAATCGCCGCCCGCTTTTCTGCTGTCTCGACGCTCGTTCTTTATTTTGTTTGGCACATGTTCGCCGATTAAACCTATCTTTCAAGTTTAATGTTTATTTCCTCTTCGCCTTACTCCGTGACAAAATAATCTGATGAATTCAGCGTATAAGTTCGGGCAACGGAAGGATAACGATCCCGAAATAGTCCCACTTACCGACTTACCGGCGTAGATCCCGAGGTCATTCGGATGAGTGGATTCAGAGATAGGAAAAGTCGGCAATGACGGATTGGTCTGATGAGTCTGCTGATGACGATAGCGTCTGCTGAATCACCGGTTCGCGAATGCTGGGAGTTGCTCATACCGGTGTTGATGCAAAGTTCGTTTAATCCAAATCTCGACTCGTTCTTGGGAAGCAGGTAAGCGTCGTATTTCACTTTCGCTCGGTAAAGAGTTGCAGCGAGTGAATGGCATCGGTGCACAACAAATTTTAGTGCTTCGATGGGCCTGAAAGAGCAATCGAGAGAATGCGAGAATAAAGAAAGAGCGAGATATACGGAGAGGAAGAAAACAAGAGAGCGATAAGAAAGAAAATAGAGGTGGAGAGAAGAAAGTCAGTAACATATTTACATGCAATAACTCTGGGCTTCTTGACAGGAATCCGTCATAATCTCAGCGAATGCAGAGGCTGCCATGTAACGAACGCACCAAGAAGACCATCTTTTTGCTTTACCCAGTCATAGCCGCCCCCGCTTTGTGCGGCTTCGATGGGCTTCAATGGGAGGGGGAGTACATTGAGTATAGAGTACCGTAGTCAACATGTGTAACAGGGGCAAGCGAGCTGCCATTGTGCAAAATAGACCAGGCCTCAGCGCAGGCCCCTGAAAATCGGCGTCGCGGGCTAGGTCGGGCTTCTGAATATTGGCCCATGAGAACCTCTAGTTGTCGGTCACTTCGAAACAACTAGCGTCTGATAGCTTTGCGTGGACCACCAAATTGCTTTGGAGATCCCCGTACCTGGTGACAGCTCTCGCTGTCCCCTCAATGGATTTCAACAATTGAAATCACACATCAATTATATACGCGTTCGTGCGGTCGATCACAGGATTTCTGCCTGCCTGTTTTGTATAGTGATTTTTTTTTTTTTTGTTGCTTGTCATGTCTAAGGAGGTGAAAGTAGAGGAGGAATGCATGCAAGCTGTAAATGACTACCAACGAAAGATAAGAACGGAGATGACAGGTGCCTTTTATCAGAAGATATTCGAAACCTAGAACATTAAGAGACTCCTTATTAAGTAAGAACTTCTATCTAAACAATGTATTAAATTATTAAATAAAAGAAAGATACTTGTCCCATTCACCGCACCCGCTTGTTTGTCCCCGCAACTTATTAAAATGACATTGGAAAATCCTCACTCACTCGTTCTAGACTGGGTCTCAAATGTGTATCCGTTAGATAAACATTTATTGAATAAAAAATGAAGCACATCAAGTACACATAGAGAATCTGAAGGCGGTCACTCTTAAATTGAGCGCCAAATCTACTTTTAAACAAATTTCGGGTACACAGGAATAATAATTATGATGGTGCATTTGTTTAGTAGAAGTATGAAATGATTGGTTCACGTAGTAAAGGAGCATTCAAACAAAAATTTTCATTTTCTACGCTTCGATGACGTGTAAACAACAAATGATCTCTGGGTCAGTGCCGGGTTTATTTTGACTAACTGGAGAGGATCTCTAAGCTCATTTCAGCGGCGATGTTGATGTGAAATGATCGTATATTATCTGTTACTGCAATCAACACACAGCCACCGTTCATTTCCTCCCTGTCATGACGATATAAGTTAAAACATTTCTCACAGCCTTAAGTTTCACTATTACGTACTTTACTTGGAATGTCCAACACTTGGATGTGATAGCGAGTGAAGTGAGCTGACTGAATTTCGGAACCCGTCAGGCAGAAATGTCATTTAATGCGAAAGCATTCCCAAGTAGCGGAGCCAACGGCGTCTGTAAGCGCAAGAAAAAAAAAAACGCGAAAGAAATGTCTATTTTTTCATTGGCTGAGCAGAAAGGCTCCTAGATAGCCATTGGCGGCCGCTTCACTAGAGCGAGCGTTCGGTCGCCGGCCGCAACCTTGGCAGAGGCGAAATGTGGCCGTCCACGCCATGCAACGCAGACGAACTAAGGAAGCAGAAGAACAACATTCAAGCTTCCGCATTCACAACTCATAAAAAGTGCCTAGGTGTCCACGAAATTTTCTTTTCTTTTTTTCTGTCCACTTTTGGCGTTAAATTAAATAATAATAATGAAATTTGAAGGGGGCTGCAGCAATATCTACTTGCAGAGTTCATTTCTTAAAAAATAAACGCGCAAAGGCAGCCGACGTGCGCCGACCGCCTGATTTCGCGTTGAAAAGGCAGCGTCCCGAGCTCAGAAGCGTTCGTTCGAGGCTCCGGAAAAGGCGTCTGCCGAGGTTGGCTTTCCCACATCAACCCTCGGCTCGAGGACAAGCCCACCTTCTGCGACCGTCCCGTCGAGTCCTTACGTGGACTGGACACTGGCAACATCGCGGCAGGGTTGGTCAGTATCGCGATACAAATGTATCGGGATAGTATTTCAGAAATACATTTCGTAACTGTATTTCTGTATCGCGATACATTTGCTTCACCAGTATCTATATTGCTGTAACGAAGTACATTTGGAATGTTCCTTTGTATCGCGATACAATCAGGATGAAATGTATTTCGTTACATTTCTTAACAAATACTCCCCCCCCCCCTACCCCCCCCCCGCCCCCCCCGAAAATACAACTCCGAACGCTTTTTTTTTCTTTTTTACTTCTGAGGGCACCAATGGTCAAGGTGATACTGGGGCATTGTTACCATGCTGACCAAGGTTCCTTCCGATTCTTCAAACTATTTTTCTACGTGTTTTCTTCTCTCTTCCCAGAAGTGTTGCGTAGTCGGGGATTTGAACCAGGTGGCGTGCCAGGAGTGGAGTCAGAGCATCCTCTGCCGCAGGTCCTAAGGTAGGAATTTCTTGAGTTATTATTTGCTGACATCCAATGCCCGCTGCTAACTGTCTCTCTTGCCTTAGCGTACGCAGTACACCCGGCCGGCAAAGCTGAATCACACTCCGTTGCAGCAAGACCCGGGCGGTGGTAGACTTGAAATAGTAGGATGACTCACGCAGTGAAGTTCAACACATATTCGAATGCGTCTGCGGCTGCGCCCGTAATTTTGCACGGCTCAAGGGTACGTCATCAGCCGACGTGAACGTGACCCGATGCTCTGGTGATCCGAAACCCAGGAAGGAGGTCAGACGTGGCCTCGCTGTGCCAACCCAGACTTCGTATACCTGCGAATCGTCTCGAGGGCGCTGTTTCTCGGAGAGCTCGCACCTGTGCCGGCAATATCAGGTTGCAATCCACGAGGTCTCTGTTTGGATAATGCTAGGCGAAACTTGAGGACTGCAATTCATGCGTCGGTGGCGGAGGATCGGCAGGAAGGACCTTCACAACAGGGATGCCACCGTACCGTTTTTTTTTTAACCGTAACAGAAGATAAGGCATGTGTTCCAGGAAGCTTCAGGTGGTCCACTGTTCTCGAAAATTCCAAATGACACCGCCTGCGCGATCTTTAACGAGGTAACCTACAACGAAAGTACGTATTGTCCTTTCATACAGCAGCGTGGTAAAGCTTCATGTTCAAGGCCACCACCTACAGATAAATAATACCAGTTCATTTCACCGTAACGTCATGTGACAAATGTTGACAGGGGCGTCCTTATTAAACAGGGGCCTGGTGACGTTTAGATGGGGTTTAGGATGACATAGAATTTATTTAGAGGTCGAAGTCTTTTCGCATCCCTCGTCAGACAGACAGGATGTCAGGAAAGGGACCGCGGTCAGTCCTTGATGGGACGTTTTTAGTTTTTGTTTTTTGAGCCCATTGAAGACTCCTCGTCGTCTGAAATCACTACCTTCAAAGGCAAAGTGTCAAGCCTACGGGATAGTAATTTCAGGATCAAAAACTTCCACTTCCAACTTCAAGCTTCATATCATTTGGCGTCTCAAACAAATTTGAAAAATGTATTGCAGTATCTGTATTTATATTTCTGTCCTCCATGAAATGTATTCCTGTATTTGTATTTCCAAATACTTTTTGCCTCTATTTAAAATGTATTTCCTATACGTATCGCGATACACTTTCACAGATATATTTTAGTATCAGTATTTTAGCTACTATTTTAATGTACCCCAGTATTTGTATTTCCAAATACATTGTTGAGTATTTCTGCCCTACCCTGGCATCGCGGGCACTCTCATTAACAATCTCGGTATTTTTTTTTTTTTTTTTTTTTTTGCTACGTTACATATTTTAGGAATGAGAAATAATATTGGGGCTTAAAAGGTGCGGCAGGTTTGTTTGGTTTCTATCTTTCCCGTTTGCTCGTCGTTTCGTGCAGGAGTAAAAGTTTCAGTCGCCAGTCAGCAGCGTTGGTGCGCTCCTACTCCTACTTCTAGTTCTTCATTTCTTCGCTCTTTTTTACTAGCTTAAGCAACGCTAAACCAAGTAGCTCAACTCCACGCCTTGTTGCTTGAAACTATATCCCGATACTTCTTTCATCCAGCAATATAACTATGGTTCGGCGTTTCCGGTTTCAACCGTTATAAACCTCAAACGTTTACAAAATGAGTTTGGCATAATTCAGTCTAAAAAAAAAAAAGAAAAAAAAAAGGTTTGTATTGCTAAGCAGTATGGCATACCTAATGGATTCTCTGAGGGGGAGAGGAGGGTCGTCATCGTGTGACCTAAACTCCGTTCATTCCTAAGCTAAGATTGCAGTGGGATCTACGCTCCGCCGGACCAATCACCCGCCTTCCTCTCATCACCTGACCGCCGCTCTCTACGCGTGTGTATGTGCGAGAAAGTGATCACGTGACTAAAGACGCATTAGTGGTCCGACGAGCGCGTAGCTTCCACCTTACTGTCAGCTTAGAGTGACTCACTTTCTTACAGAGTTGTCGGCTATCTTCTGGGATCGGCGTATAGACCATTCCATTTAGCGCTTTCAGGGCGGCGCCATCTTGCTCAACCGCACCGCCCCCGCCACACATCCGGGATGTTCAGCTGGTTCGGAGGGGTAAAACGAGAAAGAAGGCACGCGCCCGGTCCCGCTAGCAGACGACAAAGCCGGGAGGTTGCCGTCCTCCATCTTTGGGATGTATCGGCGGGTTGTACCGAACACCGAAATCTCGCTCGTGGCTGCCGTTGTGAAGTGGCTCGCGTTCTTAGAATATTTACGGCTACTCCAAAATCAGCCTATAGCACTCTGTTATTTTATTTCAGTAAATGATCAACTAGCGAATCGGTTTCGTTACTTGAAGAGCAGTGAAGTCAGCCGGCAGTATTACCCTCAACCAATGCGTCAGGAGAGCACGTTTTTAACTATTATTTCGGACTTCCACTCGCTGTCGCTAAAGGTCTACACCAGTACAATCCTTGTACAGTAAAAAGGCTACAGCAACCGGATTTACTTTTCACTAGAGAGACCGGCCACTCTGAGCTTTTTGTTTTTTTTTTGCAGGCAGGTAACAGCGCGGTTCGACCCAGTTAGTCTTTTTTATCGAGCATAGCATTACACCATAACTTGCATATCAAAATCTGCGCATCTTCGCTTGAAATCTCCAATATGACGCGATTTTAAACCGAATTCGAACGCCAGCCGGATGGTAGGTATAGCCCATTCGGCGGAGCAGGCGACGCGCGGGTTAGAGCGGGGGGGGGGGGGGGGGGGGGGGGGGGGGGGCAGTGCTAAAAAAAACATATGCGATCTGTTTAAATATAAATACCACACATATAAAAAAAAACTGGTGAACTTTAATATTGTTAGGAAGGTTAAGACGATGACGGGGCAGTGGCGCGCAGGACATCTCGCCCCAGGCCCCACGTGCAATCTGTTTTACCATCGTGACCTGTCCTTCCTGCTGCTGACAACATCATCCTAAGAATATGTAAAAAAAAATAAAAAATTCTTTCTACATAAAGTTGAAAACGGTATGTCAAAATTTAGGAAATAAAAACCGAAAATGCCAAACCCAGTATACACCTAAGAGAGCCAGCTTAGTATATTCTTTGTGGAAGAGTTCCTTGTATATTAATTTTATTTTTAACATTCGCTACATCAGCTTCCCAATAAGTCCTAGAGAAGTTCTATCAGTAAATGTGTGTCGACCTGATTAGCCCACAATACCAGCAGCATCTTTACAGCCTCGCTTGCTACAATGCTTGCAAATAAAACAAATCCAGACAAGGGAGGATAAATAGTTTTACAAGCACGGCAGGGTTTTCGACCCAAGAAAGTCGCTCAGATGGCCTACTGGTTCCTGCAAAATTACAATGGAAATCAACACTTCTTGACTAGCACAGACAACTGACACATGCCCCAAAAGGACGGACAGTACTCAGGATGCCTTTTCTGGTGGGCCTAGTCGGCCCCCTTCCGTCTTCTCCAAGACAGCATATATGTCCAAAGCCTCCCCTGCCGGAATTCCATACCCTTTCTTGAGTCCGTGTGGATTGGAAGGTGTCACACAATCCATGTCCACTTCTTTTCTCAAGACGGTGTCCACCTCCACACTGCTGAAGAACGCCACACTCTGCGGTAAGTCCCTCATGCCGAGCTTCCAAGCAAAGAAGGCACGAGTTAGCAGGTTCGTCACCTGCAAAGCGAGGGCTGCCCTGTAACGGTCTTCAGAAGCGACCAAAAATCGGACCTCGTCGTGGATGCTAACCGCAAAGCGGCCTTGAATTGCATAGTCATCCATAAGCCAGCGCATGGTGATCAGCATGAGGTGAAGGTAGTCTACCGCCGAGCTCTGCACGACCCAGTTAATGCGGCTGTTGAAAAAGTTTGTGTCGACAGCGGCCGGTTCCAGAGCGCGGCTGATGCGGCAGCCCAGAACTGGTGTCCTGGGCTCCTCAGAATCGGCGATGGCCTCCAACTTGTTGAACATGTGAGACTCACTCCCGCCCTCCCAGACCTTGCGCTTGCCACGGACAAAAACCTGTTGGCCCTCAACCACTTCGGGTACAGCCACCCTGACTCCCTTGGTCTGAGCATACATCTTCTTTGCCTTCGTGGAGGCCTCCTGGGCATCGAGTCTGTGGTTGAACTGCATCAGGAGTCGCTGAGCAAACGGTTGCCCCGCGCCGTAGATCCTGGCATAGTTGATGACCTTGGCCTGGTCCCTGCTGATGCCGACAGACGTGGCAGTGCGACTGTGCATATCCGTACCCACTGCTTTGTTTCCCTGGAGTGTCATCCAGCCAATAGCAGTGCAGCCATGCATTTCTGCAAAGTGGGCGTCGGCCAGAATAGATGCTATCCAGAGTTCCTGAGAATCCACATCCGCCCCGACAATGTGGTAGCCTTTGGGAGCTTGAACCATGGACTTGAGTTCGCTGCCCACTCGGTCTTTGTAGGCATTGCTGGCTGTCAACCACGTTGGTTCAACTGCTCTCCGGGTTACAGTTCCGGCGGGGATAAGTCTAGGTAAGATCACGCCGTAGTCGGAGCTGTCCCGGTCATGAATTATTTCTGGAAGGTCACTCTTGGTGAACCAGACGACCATCTGAGATGCAATACGGTCTCGAGCATTCTTCCAGTAGGAAATTATCTTGCTTAGCAAAAGTACACGATTTGCTTGCGGGTTGTCACCTGCCTGAAGAATGCCATCCGTCACTTTTGTCAAGAAGTCTTTGGCAAGTGGATTGCCTACACGCTTGTGAGGGCCATCCTTGTGTGGAAGCCTGAAGAAATAGCAGCCATCAATGTCGACATCCATATCCAAGTTTTCCTTGACTTGCGGAGGACGGGTGCGATTCCCCAAAACCTTCCGCCACAATTTTGCTTCGCCCTCTTCTGGAATGTTGCCCAGCTGTTGCCATTGCAAGCCTGTGTCTTTAGGCCCCAGGTCATCCTTAACATCCTCATAGCCACATGCTTTCAAGAATTCAGGAAGGGGAAACTTTGGTTTTTCATCACCCTTGGCCTCGGAGTCTTCAGCGAGAGAAGGTACAACAACAGTTCCATCTTTTTGCTCTCGGGGAACCAGGTATCCCCAGCCCTGCTTCATGTCAAAATGAAGTGGATACCCATCCCACTTCAGGCGAAGCAGTTTTGGAACTGAACGCATTTGCGTACTAATAACGCTTGGACCCGGTTCCCAATCTGAATCTTCGTCATCCGGTGGCTTAACACAGAAATCTCTGTACCACGCTGGGTACCCAGAAAGAAATGGCTGTGTCTTGTACAAGGCCTCAGATGTCTTGAGAATGTCTTTGACCTCTTCTTCAAGCCCTCGTTCGAGGTCTCCTTTATCAGTTTGCGTCTCGACGACAGTATGCCCCTTGACTGCACACTTGTTGGCTGCAGACTTCTTACACCTCATGTTCTGCACAGACCAGTCGAGGTCCCAGAGCCATGGGTCTCTCTTGTAAGCGTTGCCGTGCAACAACCGGCAGGCCGAGTTGGCAATGCCAGCCAACGTCTGCTTCAACTCTTGCTGAACGTCCTGATACACGGCTTCCGCATCGCTCAAGTAGCGTTCCCAGTTCTGGTTCACAGGAAGGTAAGCCGTGGACATCTCCAACATGCCGGCAAATGAAATCGGGTGTGGAAACCGTTCAAAGTAGAGTGGAAGAAGCTTGCTTAAGACCTCGTGCGTGGCAAGGACGTCGTTGGCACAGTATGTCATCAGTCCTTGAAAGTCGGCGGCTATGTCGCCAAGGCTTCCGTTCAAGAAGGTGTCTCTCGCTTCTTTCTTGAGCACCTTGCCCCCGGAGTACAGAGCGTAGACGTCCCCGAGGTTGTTGAGAGAACTGAGATCCTGCCACATCTCTGGAGGAGGGCCCTTGGCTGCCTTCTCAGACTTGTTAGCCATGGACAGAGCCCGCTGAAGACCCGTGAGGCCGGAAACGCACACGTGCAACGACAGCGTGTCCAGGAAGCGAAGCTGGCTGCCCTGAATGAAGTATTGCTCCCGCAGGAAGGACCTGTCGAAGCCAACGTTGTGTCCAACGACCACCCTCGGCACCGACTCTGGTCCAGTCCGCGCCTCCAGGGGAATCAGGTCCCCGATGTTCACCCTTTCCTTCCACTTGAACTGTTCTTTGGTCAGCTGGGCGCTGCACCACGAGTACCAGCTGTCCTTCGAAGCCGCGGTCGCCAGAGTCGGGAAGTGTCCTTCCTTAACGCAGACCTCGACGTCGAACACGAGCGCTTCGTCGTCGGGACAGTCGACCCTCTCCGTCCTTCCGTCGTTCCCGTACTTGGTCCAACCAGGGGCCCAGTTCCACTCCCGCGGAAGAGGCGGCAACTTGACCGCGCTCAAGCTTTCGGCGGCTTGTCTGTAAGGCCGCGCGTAGCGATGTCCGAGGTTCGTGAAATGCTCTTCAAGGTCGGAGCCGAGAAGCTCGGGTAGTGCGAAGCTCACGTCGGGTAGCGCGGTCGTCTCGTGGCCCCAAAGTTGCTGCGCTTTCAGGTGCTTCACGCCGCGTTCCACGGCTTGGGGATCCACTTCCACGACAGCATCTCCGAAAACCTGTCGGTGCAAATCGCCGGAAAGCATTTGAATCCCGATCGGATTGAAACGTGCGGCGCCGTTGTCCAGTTTCCCACCGGCGACAGCTGCTTTCGACGAAGAGACGGCATTTCGAAGGCAGTTAGGCACATTAACTAGCTTGCGAGAGCGACGACAGAGCTGAGACTGAAGCTCACGGAGCATCGTAAACGTTGTAAACCGCTAAACACCGGATCAAAACAAAGCGCCATGTACCGCCGTTTCGGTTTCCATTTGGTGTGTTCGTTGATTCGCACCATTCGCACGACTCACATCTGGTAGTCGGGAGTAGTGACGTAATTTTTAGTCACCCGACTTTACCACTGCAGTGCCCTTTGCTTTCTTAGCCGTAGCCTTTGGAATTGTTTAAAAAACTTATATTAGAAAGCATGTTTATTATTGATTACTATTTATAAACGAGCTTTATTTTAAATAAAGAGCTACAAAGAAACCGCTGCCAGCGTTTGAACTTCAAACAACTCAAACGCTGGCAGCGCCAGGGCGCCATGGTGGCCGCCAGTGGCCGGGGTGGATTGTTGGATTAAAATTGCGGCATCTCTCGACATGGCGGATGATGTTCGGCAGCAAGCGCCGAAATCCCCCGCAAAAGAAGTGATAGGAGGTACGCTTCGATCACTTTTCACAGTGACCGCGAGTGTGGCACGCACGGCCTCACCTTTCCTCCGAGTAAATCGGGCCCTCGTCATTGATTATCCATCTTGAAAGCCGCCTCCATTGTATGGGTGTTTAGGCCTTATTCCCATTGTAATGAATTGCATCTTAAAGTTTCTTGAGAGGCTGCTATTTTCGCGAAGGCCTGTTAGGCATTATAACGGTGAGCAGCCACAACGCGAGCTCAGACAGACAATAAGTAGGGCAGTAGCGCTCGCTGAGTTGTCGAGATGACTGCCATTGTCAGTGCGCTACTACCTCGCTCCAAAAACGACGCCACATCAACAAAAAAAAAAAAAAAAATGTCCTGACAAACTTGAGTTTTATTTTTGTTTATTTCTCAAACCTAGAAGTCAACCATGATGAAGCAATACTGGCCCAGGAGAAGGAGATCGAACGTGAGGTGAGTTATTTTTTTCTTTGTCTCGCTGCGCTGTCCATCGTCTTTCGGCAAATCGTCCTAAACTTTTAGAAGTAACCTTCCTTTCTTTTTTCTCTGCCACTTTTAGATTGCGGAAAGAATACCCCTGATCGACAACAAGAAGGACTTGTCTGTCCTGCAGAAGGAGTACTCGCTGGAGGACGACATTTACCAGCAGAAAGTGAAGGTGTGTATCACTCAGTTTCCTGATATACACGAACTCATCTCTGTTACGTCACGGCGCGGTGGTGGAGCGTCGGGCGCACTTCCGGTAGGGGGCTGTGGGAGGAAGTCCCCATGTGAGATGTATATTCCTGCGTTGTTTTGAAAGGAACCAGACAAAAACCTGCCTTCTCGTCAAAACACCGCGACTGGGGCTGTACCAAGAGAGTCACGAAAGGTCTGAAGATCAGTTTTGTTGTGCTCGTTTCGTCCGAGCGTGTGGATATGTGTCGTGAAAATAGAAAACCAGACGCTGTCGGACCACGATTGCTTGGGGGGAAGCACTTTGGGTTGAATTCACGAGTACTTGTAGTCATAAGATTTATTTAGTTTGTTCCAACATGAACGCCGGAAAACAGTCAAGTTATACGGACCACCTGCGGACTTCGTTCAGTGCGTCTTCAAGTTCGATAGGCCGCCTCGTTCGAACTGTCTGCTCTTTGTAACGTTTCTGCTTGTCGTCTGCTCTTTGAGACGACACCGGCCTGTAGACCAAATGTTGGCCCGGTATTTGCGATAAGAAGTAAAAGACTTAATTTTGAAGGTTGGTAAGCAGGCTCAATGTAAACAGTAGATACAAGGACATGTTGATTATTGTTACCAGTGGCCATCACCGACTTGTTATGCTTGATATTCACTTGGTACGATTCTGCTTGCCATTTTCAGTATTGACGTCAAGCATCTCAGCTACGGTTCACGCTTTTGCAGCCCAAGCGACGTCGAGACTGAAAATTGCGAGCGAAATCTCATCATGCGAATCGGGCTTTAGCGTACATTCTGCGGCGTCCACACGGAATGAATCGCCGCATGTCACATTGTTCACGCGAAGTTCTACGGTTTAACGAGCCTCGGTAATTTCGCTGAGGCCGCTCAAGTAGTCAGACATTGCCAGGAAGACTTAGAATGAATAATTCAAACGCAAAAAAGGGCAGGGGACTCACATTGACGCCAACAACATTGCATTTCAATGGTTTGTTTATGGGCGACGGCGAGCTTCTTGCCCACACTCTATTTCGCATGCGCAACACCGGTAACATCCACTAGGGGCGCTCCGGTTTGTTTGTAAACATGAGCTAGTGTATACTGTAGTAATAGACGAGCCTGCAAAGGCAGGCTCGCCTATCACTACAGTAAATGAAGCTTTAAATATATAGGGAATACGAAAATCGTCTGAAGTCGGTGTCCTTAGATTCTATTGGTCTATTTCCTTCGAATTCTGCTCCTTTGCTAGCGAGGCACAGATCCATGTATCCCAACTCTGAAGGGGATGTTAAGCATGATGAAAAAGAGCCTCGGTAAGCACGGATGGCAAAAAGAGAACACGAGCTGACAGGACGACGGCTCGCTCGCAAGTGAAGTTTATTTCATGAAAAAGAAACTTCCTAAAACATATTACAGCCCCACAGATTACAATGCACGACTACCAGGCAAAAGAGGCCGCCGAGATTATCGCTTTACAAATTGCTACTCATGTTAGACCAAAGGTATGTTATCTCCTTCTCAGATAATGCCACCTATGGTTCTCTGAGACATCTGTCTGCCAATGAAGAAATGAAAAATGCTTCAATTATTTCTCGAGTCCTTCTGTCTCAATGTCTGCCCCCAACAGCTGCGTCGCCAAAAGAAGGGAGACATGAACAATTCCTGCAATGTAGCTGTAGGAGTCCCCCAGCCGTAGCCCTGAAGGCGCGTTCACATCGGCGGTGTAAAACACTTGTGCGATGCGACTAGATCGCATCGCAAAAAAAACGGATGGTCACACTAACGTGCCGACAAGCGAGTCGCTTCTCAAGAACTCTCGTTCCGAACGGCACCGATTAGCTCAGCCGCTCTGCGACTAGATCGCATCGCAAAAAGTCGGGTGAGCTTGTGACTGCCCGAAACATGTCACTTTTTTCCCGCGATGGTCACTTTTGTGATGAAAGGTATCGCGGTACTGTTGCACATTGGCGGTGTGAACGCACCTTAGGAAGTAAAGGCTAATTCACACACTTGCGTCGCGTCCGACCAAATGCAACTGCAACAGGTTGCTATGGCACCAGCTGCGCCGACTCCAACAAATCTAGTTTCACAGCTGTTGCCATAGCAACCTGCACGTCGCAAGCCGTTACAGTTGCACTTTGTGAGACTCGACAGAAGTGTGTGAACCAACCTTAAAGGAGCTGTGCAACAATTTCAGGGCTTTGCTTAAATAATTGTGGAAGTTGATGCCTGACACTTCTGCAGTGAACTACAGAAAACAGATTTTGCCTGGATACCCTAGTTTTTACTTAAAAAAATGAAAAAGATCCAGGTTTTTGCCGCCTCTCAACTCGTGCATCGTCTTCCGGGTCACGTGCACAGTGACGTCACTAGAGTAGGCGCGAAGTTCCGGAAAAGTTCTCTCTTTAGAGCCATCAGCGAGCAGCGAGAACTCATCCGCTGCCGACCGCGTGACCACCCGTCCTTGCCAGTGTGGCGCTGTCCCCCTCCCCCTCCGGCTTCTGGCGGCTGTTCGCGGTTTTGTGGACCTAGGATAGATGGCGCCACTAAAACTCCGTATAATAAAAGTTTTGTCGATGATACCAGGGTGTTGACGCATTTATATATATGTTGGAACGACAAGATTTGTAAAAAGAGTTACCTTTTATCGAGCAGGTATTCGCACAACTTGCTATCTTTCTTACAACGACCCAAGTGACGTCACGCCGCTTGTTTCTCATGGCCGCCGCTCGTGGCTGCAGGTCGGGAAATATTCCAAGTTTTGCCTCGCTATTACGCGGCGGAATCGCAACATTGCGATGAAAAGAGGTGTGTTTTCTGCCATTTGTGACACAGTGAACAATATCAAAAGCAGAAAATGCCAATTCCTTCAACGTTAAAATCGTTGCACAGCTCCTTTAAGCATGCTCTCTCAACCTTTCATTTAAACACCTTCCTGTCTGGCCTACATAAGATCCTCCACACGACAGGGGTATCCGGTAGACGACACCCTTCATCTCCCTTCTTTTGGTGAGGCGGTGGTTGTGGGCACACACCAAGACAGAGTGACTCGAGAAATACCATATTTTCTGGGCTATAGTCCGCACCCAGTGTATATAGACCGGAAAGGCCAATTTAGGCCGAAAAAAAAAGTTTTTGCTTAGATAGTCTGCACTGGTGCTCAGTCAACACGAAAATCTTCTCATACATGGCACACCTTGGCAAATGTCTACCTTTTTTAGCTCGCAAAGAAGCTTCTATTATACATAAATCATCAGTAACATATTGTTTCTCTCAAAATCCGTCGCGTCTCGTCATAATGTGTAGTCCGCGGACTATAGCCTGAAAGTGACAGTAATTGAAGCATTTTTTATTTCTTCGTTGGCAGACAGGTGCCGTTAGATAATATACCTTTGGTCTAATATGACTGCCATTGTAAAGCAGTATCTTGGCGGCCTCTTGTTGCAGTAGTGTCGTGCATTTTAGTCTGTGTTTGGGTAATATTTCCTTTATTTCCTTTTCATTGAATATACTTCAGCTGAAAGTGAACCGTTGTCCAGTCGTCTCCGTTTCCTCTTGAACGTCCGTGTTTACTGAGGCTGTTTTTCATCATGCTTAACTGTTACCAACTGGCCCAATTTACGACCCTACTGAAGGGGATGTCTTTTTACTCTCGTAAACGGTCTTTGTCCGCAGACGTGATGTCATCTCTGCACTTGGTCTTGATTTTGCAGCATTTCTCTATAATTGCTTGTCCTTCGTGGAGGTAATCCACTGTAGTCTCTAACAGTGAGAACAGCAGGTGTGTCCTTCGGACGCCCGGCCTCTAGCACTTGCTCCATGCCTTCCGCAATGTTTTGGCTGCGCGTGTGCTCAAGGTGCAAGTACGAGACATTGAGGCGTTGAAGGCAGAACAACTGAAGCACCTCCCTGCCCTTATCACCTTGTCAGTCACTATAGCCAAACAACTTGAAAGTCTCAAAAGGCCACAAATTTTCCTGCCAGTGTAGCAGACCCGACATGTTTTAAGGTCGAACCGCATGTAAGTGAGAGATTAGCGATGAAGATTTCTCACTGTCGCCCGTCGCGTCGCTCGGGTTTTATATTTCCTGGAAACGTCGCTCGTCGCCTTGGTCGCTTGCTCCCGTCACTTTCATGCGTTTTGCCTCGTCCCGCGACTGACCGAGCGACAGCAAAGCTGGTCGCCGTCGCTTGTCTTGTGGCTTGCCAAGTCACTTGTAACCAACTCGCCAGTGATGTGATTGCTGCACCAAACTGCGCCAAGGGGCTAACCCTGCTACATCCTGCTACATTTCGCCAAAATATGGGTAATCTGTGCCAAGCCTGCGCCAAAGGGCCAATTTCGGACGCCTTTCAAAACCAAAACTAAACTGAGTACCGTAATCGAGCACGCATGTGTTATGTGGTGCAAGCGGTCCGATAGACGCGGGGGTGTGCGGACACTCCGACGCCAGCGTGCCAGGTACCATCCATGCCGTCATACCGTGAAACGAAACCATGTTTTTGCGCGGCGGGAGTAACTTTGTGAGCTGAAGCACTCGCTTCATAAAGCAATGGCCGTGGGAAAACTATATTTGGATCCTGCCTTCCAGTCACTGTGGTTGCGCAACGTCAGGTGTTGCCGTCCTCATGTCCCTGCAGATATGGCGCTGAGTACCGCCGCATGTTTATCAACATTCCTGTTCTTGTTTAAATCATATGTTGCTACAAAAAATCCCCCTTTAACTCGGACTGCTGTGTCGAAGTATTGATTACCTAGATTACTCTCGGTGGGCTTTTTTTCGACAGGGACCCCGGTACGTGAAAAATCTGCCGCGAAAGAAAGTTGGTGAAGAGAAGTGAGCTAAAGGAAAGAAGAAAATATCTGCACGCTGAACCCGCACAGCGCGCTTGTTTGTCTTGATTTCAGTGGTTACACAAAGTGCTCCAAGAACGTTCTGACCCTGGCTCGCAATGTTTTGCATTAATGCGATCAGGCTTTTT